ACCTTTGTACTGAGGTGTTGCTGTTAGGAACTTGTTATTCACACCTCAGCAACAGTGATTTTAGTTATTTGCTGAAACATTCTCTGATTCACAGCTAAATATTTATAAAAGGAGGACCAAAACAGATGTGTCTACACTGCAGTGGCACTTGGGATGGGTGGAAAGACCAAAGACTGCAGCAGCTCTGCTGCAGTCTTGTAGCATGATGATCCAGGCAGCAAGCTCTGCTTGAAAAACCCCATCAGCACTACTGCAATGTGTTCAGGTACAAGCCAGCATTTCCATGACGTGCTGTGCTTGCCATGGGACACTGCAGAGTGTATGAATAGGGGCAGGGATAGGTGAGAAATCAGCTGTCACTGCATGGCCAAGCTATGCCTGCTTCCAGCTGTCATATGAGTGGCTCCAGAACTGTACCCCAGAAGGTGCCCTAAGCAGCATGTGCATGCCCTGTGTGACTGCTGATCTTAATAAGGGCTCCTACAACATTAACATCGACTTTGATACTATCAAAACATGCTCATTTCTTATTCCAACAAACACTTTGTACCACTCACAGAAGCAGCACAGAAAGCTGTGCAGAAAAGAGGCTGTCAGCCTTTTCATACCGCACGTTCAAGTTTCCTCAGAAAGCTGTCTACTGGATAGCATTTAGTTATAAAGGCAGGTAGTTGCAATCCACCATGTTGACATACCTGAAACCCAGAACAACATGAAACATGTACGTAATGACAAAAGCATGCACCACCCATATCAGCTCTCGGCACGATGAGCAAGATGAGGCTCACTGTTATACATGACAAAAAAAAAAGAAACATTGAAACACTAACCATGATATCATATTAAAGCCTTTAAAACGTACCAAGTCTGTCTGTATAAAACTTATCAGCAGAAGATGCTTTTCTTCCAAGATAAATAAGTATTAATAGTGCCAAAGCACAGATCAGCCACATGACTTGAGGTGAGGAGCCACTGTTTCCCAGCAGCTGATTCCTCAACCAGGCACAACTTTTGCTGGTGTCTTTTAGGAGTTGAGTCTTTTAAGGATCAACTCCCCCAGGCTTGCCTGAAGAGTCAGAGGAAATACTATTTTGATAACATGTTATAGCACAGAATAGCCCTAGGAAGATGAAACATGGCATCCTTTTCTCCAAAGCTTCATATATACTTGGATGGATTAGCTAAGAGCAAAATCTTCCTATCTTACCTTTCTTGCCTGTGGCTGACTGAATTTGGTATTATTTGTTAGCAAAGTGGTATATATTTTATGTGGGCAGAAAGACCAAGATGATGGAAAGCATGGGATTTGCAATATTTGTAGTCTGACAGCACACAGGCATCCAAACACAAGTCATAAAACAGAGTTGCCCAAGGCAAGCTTCCGTAACACTTGATTTCCTTCAGGTTCCATTTCTCTTTTTTAAATAGGACCACCACATCTCTTTCCCAGGGTACCAGTTGTGTCACTGACATTCTTTCAAAGTGGGAACTGTGAAGATGCTTGAACAAGTCCAAGTCCTGTGCTCAAAAAAATATATTTTTTTTTTTTGTGGTCTGATTCTTTGTTCTACATCACACACAGCAAATATGGGAGAGGCAGTGAGTTAGCCCCATTTGCCTTTAGTCCCTGACTATCTCTTATTCATCCATATTTTCTTCAGTCCCTGGCACCATGTGGTATTCCCCAACAAACATAGTTTTATTTCAGCAGGATAAATACCAGCCCTAAAACCTGTACATCAAAGGGATTTTGCATCATCTTTGATTCAAAGAGCACAGATGTATGAAACATTCAGGCGCAAGCTCGGCCTCATGGGCAGGGGTAAGACTGAGCCAGAGCTGAGTTCAAACAACACCAATGTTTGAGTCACGCACCCCATACAAACCTGCTCTTAATCAGAGGCTTCCTGCCCTTATGTTTGTCCCCTTGTACTTAATAATGTAGCAGCAGGAATATTTTAAACAGCTGCAGCTCTCTCTTTATTTGCATTTTGGGGATCGTTAAGTGCTACAGACCGCAGAAACATGGTTGTCTCCCTAATTAACTCCTCAGGTGAGCGCTGGAAATGGAAAAGGCTTTTATGGAAAGCTGGACCGAGGCACAGAGCCAACCTGCCTGCCCCCAGGCTGACTCATTAATGGCTCGCCCCTGATTAGAGACTGCCAGCAGGGCAATACCGCCTCTGGTGCTTTTCCTTCTTCCTCCTGGTGGGGGGACACAGACCCCATTTCCTTGTGCAGCCAAGACCACAGCTTTCTGGGGTGGCACGAAGGGGCCCTGACTCACATCTGCCCACCAAATCAAACACACCATCCCCCCGCCAGGTGTAGTGACAAATGCCAGGGCCATTGCCATTGTCACTGCAGTCCCACTGACCTCGGGGCTCCATGTGGGGCTCACGCACTGCCTGTAATCTGTGTCAGCTCTCCACTGAAATTGCTCCCACAGAACTTTATTTTCCTGCAATCCTGCATTTCCATATTAATGATGGGTTGAAAACAGCTATCATGAAAACCTGTAAAATGCAAAAGGGAAAAAATAAAAGAAGCCCTCCTAATTTGTCAGAGCTACTTTTAAATTTGAGTGACAGCATCCATGAAGGCACTACCCCACAACAATGACAAACCCATGCAAAATCTCCGGACTTGTAACAGATTGATTCATTACCTATAGATTACTTCACCACTGAAGTGTCTTTTAGCTTTTTTAGCTTTTTTTCCCTTTCTATTTTATTTTTTTTTATGAAGATTATCTCCTATCCAGAAAATTATGTTAACCTTTATATCAGGATGCAAAAAAAATCTTGCCTTACTACCACTTTGCTTGTTTGTATTTCTCTCTGTAACTTCATCAACTATCACAAGACAAACACTTCTTCTCACTTTGAGCTCAGGTCAAATTGTTTTGGGTTGTTTAGTTGTGTGGCTGTGTGTGGCTTTTTGCCTTTTTTCTTTTTTTTTTTTCTTCACCTGTCTCATTATCCACAGTAACAAATTTCCACTTAATGATTCTTTAAAAATTCACAGTACAGAAGGTTTATTACTTTAATTAGTTTTTTCCAAGAATGTGTGAAAGAAACTTCCTTAAAATCAAAAGAGATTCACCCTTAACTTATGTGCCAAGCATGCCAAGCTGATGTCCAATAGAGAAAAAAAAAAATTAAGTAGGAGTTCAGGTTTGGCTTGAGCTTTGTTCTTTGTTGTGTGGGTAGGAAGACTACCAAAAATTGCATGTCAAAAAAAGAATCAATAGTTGTTGGAACTGGTTCAGAATTTGATCAGCTAGCAGAAAATAATAGTATGAAAAAGGAAAAAAAAAAAAAGAAAAAGGAAAAAAAAGTCGATAAATCATCATAAAAGGAAGAGAGTAGATCTCAAGATTTTGTATTAATATTGGGTTTATTTAATACATTTACAGTTCTTCGGAAATATATATAATTAAAAAAAAAAATAGGGTTGTCACAGCAGCACTTCAATCTCAGAAGTTTATTTAGGTTAATTGTGCTAAAGTATCTGCGCTTTCACTCCATGGCAGGAGATAAGAGGGATCCTGAGGGCTATGAAGAGCCAGATTACAAGAACACAAGAAAGGCAGTCTGGTGTATTCCATGGTTAGTATTCACATCTTTTCCCTAAGAGATCTGTAATATGTCCAGAACTGAACAACAGTGGATGAACAAGAATGCCCAGAAAAACAAATTCTACTTGGTGGTGTCAGTGCTTAGGTCCTCCAAGACTTCACAGGAGGACAAAAAAAAAAAAAAAATAGAGACAGTATTTTTTCCTCATTTCTTTTTCTCAGAAACATGGATAGATAGATAGACAGACAGATTTTATAAATGAAGTTTTTGAAAACAATTTTAGTTCAGGTACATTACCAGCATGGAGAAATTCAGTTTAGACAAGGTAATGTCTAGCTAAGGCAAAAAACAGCTGTACATATAGTCTGATAATTGAAAGCATGATAATTGCAAGTACAGACCAGGTGTAACAGGAATGTGAAGCAATTACATTGGTGTAAGGGAGAAAGTACCTTTTGCTGATACCAGTTGCTTCTCTTCTGGTTAATGTTGACTGTATAACGATCACTTCAGGTTTTTCAAACAAGCTCCCTTAAATTTCAACAACTCAGTAGAAGTAATTGAGCCAGCAGGAAAATTTTACATCTCACCTTATGCATAGTTAGTGACTTTAATAACCTCTTATGAAAGCACTTGTCCTAGGATTTTTGAAAGGTAAATTCTCTGTTCTTCATTATTTTGCTGAGTAGTCCAAAGAATTAAAAGAGGTTAAGTAGTCATAAATTTCTATCTTGGAAATCCTATTGCTATCCCCCAAGGATATCATGTTATTTAGTTGTTTTATTCTTAATTATCATTTCGCCTTATTTACTCAGTACAAGTATAAGATTCACCAACATATTATTCCTAGGATAGTTTGAAAGGAAATATGACATTTGATTCCCTTGCCCTTTCTGCAAGTATTAGCTCATTTAATGACCATTTCCTTGGCCACTAAGACAGATGCACAGTCTGACATAGTTCAACCTTCACAACCTTTGCATTTAAGTCAGAGTTTCAGCTGTGGTTTATTTTAGATTTAATTATTTGTTCAATTCCAGAAGCTAGGGAGATATTGTTCTACGTTTATTATATTTCATTAAAACTAATTACAGAAGCCTGTTTTCCCCCGTTGCCAAACGAACCCTCAATCTGTCCTTTCCTCTGTGCACCTTCAAAGCTGTTTTCTTTAAGAGCATCTCTCAGTTTGGCTGCTGCAAACACATCGTCACTGTTAACATCACTGGAGATTATTCCGCTAATATCTGGGGTCAATGTTTACTGCCCAGCATTCTGCCCAGTGCCAGGATGGACACACGTTGGAACACAGGAGGCTCCCTCTGAACATCAGGAAACACTTCTGTGGTGTCAGGTGATTGAGCACTGGTTGCACAGAGAGGTTGCAGAGTCTCCTCCTTGGAAACCTTCACAAGCTGCCTGCATGTTGTCCTGGGCACGCTGCTCTGTGTGGCCCTGCTGGAGCATGGTGTTGGAGCAGGTGACCTCTAGAGGTCCCTGCCAACCTCAGCCATCTTGTGATGAAGAATGAACACTAATAATAATAGGCACTGATCCATCACGAACATGATCAAACAAAACAACACTCAGGCAAGCTAAACCTGATAGATGCTCAACAGGCAGGAGACAGACGAAGAGAAAAACACAGCCAGAGCGAGCTCTATCTGGTGGCTGCAAACAGGATATCGAGTACTGCCTGCTGCCAGCACAGGTGGGGAAAGGGGGCTCTCAAAGGCAACTTGCTCTCACGGAGCAGGCTCAAGCACTTCCCACCTGCTGCTGGTTATAGTTCCTCCTGGAAGCTGCTGTTCTTTCTCTCACACAGGAGTACTCATAGGTCAGTTCGGCGTAGGGAAGTTTAAATTGCTACTGAATAATACCCTTCTTAATATTCACAGCAGTACATCTGCAGTTCAGACCTCTTCCTGGCTTTGTTTTTTAAATCTTGTTTACTACACGTTGAAGTGGGATGTTAGGTGCTTTGTACATGGTGCATAGGTACATGGCATTCTCCTTGTTGGTGTTCCTCAGAAGTGCAAGCACTTTGAGTACTTTTTTTTTTTTTTTCTTGGCAGCCACACCCCTTACACAGATGCGTACAAATTAAATATTAGTTTGACTATTTTTCTTGGTTGAACAACTTACGTATTCAGGACAGTGAACTTGTTTTCTCCCTGACTCTGGTTTTAGTACTACATCTTTTCAGCTCTACTGAGAATATTGCTATGTTCTGCAAAGATGCCGAAGACAGTAAACAAACCATTTCCTTTAGATTCTTATTTGTGCAATGAATGTTACCTAGCTCGTAACTGCTTTACTTCGTATGATCTGTCAACTGAAGAAACTGTTGAAAAAAATGCCATTAGTGTCTCACAGGATAAGAAAAGCTATCACTATCAATTTACACTTTTAATGTTCATAGTTTTCTCTCTTATTTTAATGCCATATTTCTACAGCTGCTTGGAGAGGTGGAAAACCTTGCTGCTGTTCAACAAGGATGACTGGAACAGACATCGTTCACTTATCAGCAAAGCCAAACACAGATTGTCTGGTAAAGGGAACAAAGCAACTAAATAGGTCTGGCCAAACATCCAAGCTCAGCCAGACCACCCTGCACTGAGGCTGCCAAAGACACCAAACTTATGGAAGTTTGATGAGGCACAAAGCAGCCTCAAGACCAAGGTGTTTTCTTCTCAGTACTAATTCAGCCCCATGGAGACACTGCTGGATCTGAAAGCACGGGAGGATGACAGCCCTTCTCCAGTTTAACTTTCTACAGCTCTGGTTTGGCATGGGGAAGTTGGAGTCTCCGGGCTGCTGCAAAATTTTATTGGGTCCATATTCCCAGAGATCTGTTCATGTAATATATGGAAATAGTGCCTTTTTCTTTAGATAGCATTTTCAGCAGCAGAACAGAGGCATCCACTTACATACCTACAAAACATAGGTTCTATCTGACTCTTCTATTCAGTGCAACACAGAGCAGTTTCATCAGCTGCAGCAATGTCCATAGCTGATTTTAAGCAACTTGGGCCAGACTGGAGCTAATATCATTTCTCTGGACTTGAATATAAATCGCTACCAGCCTGTCCTAGCAGAAATTTGTCCCCAGGCTTCCCAGCCACACTGGCTTCACAAGGCAGGACACAGCAGGACCCACATGCTGTCCCCCCTGCCCACACCACCAGCCATCAATGCTGCCAAAGAAATAAAAGCCATCAAAGTTTTCAACTTGCCTTGTTGATTCAGCAGCACTATTGCCTCATAAAGTCGTAGGAACTGTGATGCTGTGAGTAACATAAATCACAGTGAGCACAGATAGCTGGGCTTCATTTGAAGCAATCTCATTTCAAGACAATCAGGTTTTTGATTATAGCTATGCCTGAAGCTGCCTGCTCTCTTTTCTCCGGATGCACGGCCACCCAAAACAATCGTTTACTCTTGCCCATGTTTCAGTTGCTAAACAACCACCAGTCTGCTGTTTAATTTATGAGCAAAAATGTTGCAGGAGGTAAAGATGCATTGAATAAAACCAAGAAAATCAACAAGATATAATTTCCCAGATAACTTGTAGTGCTGCAGGTAAAAACTTGCATCAATTAGGCCTAAAATTCAGCTGCATCAACTTGTCTGTCAGCATCCCTTCATAATTCTGTACTGAAAAAAAAAAAAAAAAAAAAAAAAGAAAAAAAAAACTAACTAGAAAACCCATTTTTCTGGTGTCTCCCATTTCCTAATTAAAGCATATTTTTCCATTCCCTGTGCTCCAGAATGTTAACAGTCTTTCAGCAGGTTATAAATATATATATATGCAAGTCCTTGAAAAGGATGAATAAATCATATCTTCTAAAAAGTTACAAAATTTTAGCTCCTCCATTATTCCTATAAAACCGCCTACTCAACCTCTAGCCAAGCCCTTAGCAAAATACCAAAGAACTATTGAACAGACAAAAGTCAAAAACTTTTAAAATATAACAAAAGGAAAATTCTCTGGGCATACGTGTTTAAAGGGGATACTTCAAGTGTAACAAAATTTGAGGGGTATGTTGGATTTTCATTCTAACATTTACATCTGTATCTTGAAAGTGGAAGTACTGGATAGCAAAGGAAGCTAAAATCTGTTAAGGTCTCCAGGGTATATGTTGTAGCTTGGCTCTAAGAGCTCCACTAAATAGTAACCTTTCTCCAGCAAAAGGAAAGGTTAAGACAAAAGCAGATCTCGTCATTTCCCAAATGCCAGTTCCTGACTTTAAACAAACCACACTTGTGAGAAAGGAGATGGTCCATCAGGTGCCCTTCCTCCCTGTACAACTTTCTAGTGTTAGATGTGGTTGATTCAATTTCTCAGTACCGCATATGGCTGCAAATACTGTTTGATAAAAGCACTCACCCTAGTCCCTCCCTAGAAATTATGTGTAAAAAAAAAAAAAAAAAAAAAAAAATGACTGAAGGGGTTTAGAAGGGAAATTTCAGACACTTTCTCCCAAAATTTTCCCAGACCAGCCAGGCCATGGTGGAGGCTGGAAAAGAAGTGTCTGGGTTTTGTTGTCATTGTTGTTTTGTGTGTTTTAAGAAAAAAAATGAGGTGTTGGTAAGTTAGACCATGATGTGGCCTAAATTCTATGTGTCTCCTCTGAACAGTTCATCCTTTCCCCATTCAGCACATCTTCATTTGACACCATTATTATTTAAAGTAATACAGTGTAGGAGTTTATTTCTGATGTTTTATTAGCTCTGGAATCAAACAATCTGGCCTAAGCAATTTTTTAAATCTTTTGCCTCTGGTTTTGAGCCTTCCATCTCTTACTTTCCTTTAATATATTCTCTTAATTATAGTTTCAGTCTTGTATTCAAGGCTCTTTCAAGTACATTTCATCAGATCGTTCAAATAGATTTGCCTCTCAAACCAAATAGGAAAATATATTAATGCTTAGGCAATCCATTGTCATTTTATCTGATGTGTAAACTTGCTCAGATAGATTTCCTGAGCTAAAATAACAGACCTTCAAAAATGAATGATAGTGAAGACCAAGAGTCAGCAAGGCAAAAGTACAGCAGCAAAGGCATGCTAGCCAGGGGCCTCAGGGTATGTGGGGTATCAGGGTTGAGGCCTATCTAAAGAGGCCAAGGAGATGTACAAGCCTGCTCCACAGAGCCAGAGCTGCAAGCAGCCCTGCTGCAGCATGGGGAGGTCAGGAGTGGGATAGGCCGTGGACTAGGAAAAAGAAGACAACTAGCAAAAGAGCAAAACTTGGGGGCTGTCTTGGATCAGTCGTGCTAGAAAACCAGTTGGGAAGCATTCATGACACCAGCAGTTAAACACTTACCTGAAGTGCTCAGAAGGTTAATATCTCTCTGGGAAAGAAGAAAAGGTTTCTCCAGAGAGGACTGGACTTCAGGTAGGTGCACAAGTGTCTGGGCTGCCCTAGGAGGGGATATCAGGAGACTCTGATGATTGTTTCTTGTGGGCAAGTAAGAAGGAGTTCCTGTCTTCTGTTATCAGCTTAATATTCACAGTGAGATATCTCTTTGTCTCTGTCAGAAAGCTTTAACAGTATAGCTTCAGTCTAGATCTCTTATTCTGAATGAAGCAAAATAACCTGGAAGCATAACTACTTAAAAAAAAAAAAAAAAAAAACTTCATGCAGGCTATGTCTGTCATTTTGTAAAACCACTCCCATCCCTTTATACCAGCTAGTGAGAAAGGGCTTAAATGAATGAGAGTGACATATGAACCACAAAAATGGTTGTGAACAACCCATTTCTAGTAGGATTTATGATGTCTATACACTTGCAGAAACTACATCTCACACTAGCAATGCCGTTTTGTGTTTAATCACATATTGAAAATAAATATATTTGAGAAGGCTTTGTTGCAAACCTTGTACGTTACACCTTACTTGAAGCTGTTATAATATGATCACTTATGTTATAGTGGCACTGGGACCTACAGGAATGCAGCAATAAAAGCCATGGGCCTTGCTGTAAAAGATATTACACGTGTATGTGAACTGGTAAAGAAAGTCAGACCAGGACCACTAAGGTCCATCACAAAAGGCAACAGCCAGCATGTTCTGGATGCTGGAGGCATGAGAGGATGGGTCTACACCTTCTCCTTGTGGCTGGCCTGAATTTACTAGCATTGGCTTACCCAGAGAGAAATTCCCTGTTCCAAAAAATCAAACTTCTAAAGAGCGGAGTCCCATGGACTACCATGGGAGGAGTAGTAAAATGGACAGGAAGCTTCAAGCGTCACATGGAAATGTCACAATGGCTCCAAATTTATCTTGTTTTCCATCTACTTTAATAATCTCCAGTAGTCCATATCTCACAAGGTAATGTCCAAGCCCAGATCATCTGGCATGGCTCAAAACAAAGACTCCACACAACAACGGTCTAGATGGACAGACAGACAGAAGTATGACACCACCACAAGCAGTGTTCTTCAGAGGACAGCAAAGCTTGGGGATTAAAAAAAAAAGGGGGGGGGGAGGAGGGGGGGAGAGCAGAGGAAGGGGGAAAGGAGGAAAAGTAGATGGCTGCAATTGTTCTAGTAGCCAAATGTCTAGCAGAAATAAGGCTAAATGAATAATGGTAACATAAAACTGATTTTATTGAAAATATATGGATATAGAAAAAGATGTATCTCGGTTTAAAAATGATTTAAACCTGCAGAAATGTGAGCAAAAACTCTACAGGACATGGTGTTTGTTTTGTGAGTCACTTCCTGTATCCTTCAACTGTTCCACCTCTGAAGATAAAAGATATCTTCACTTCTCTTTCACAAACTTGCGCTTTCCTTCACTAACTCTTATTGTTCAAATTTCTTTACAACTGCAGGAAATATAACTCAGCCTTTTCTTTGTTCAATGCACGTTGAAGCTATCTTTTTTTCACAATACATATATTCTATTTTGGGCTGAATTTCATAATAAAGGGTAATTTTTTTCTGAAAACTTGGCAATAAGAAATAGCTTGTTAAAAAGTCAATTTTGAATTTCTGAATGTTAATTGATTTCTTTTGTTGAATACTTCAAGAGTATTTGTCTACTTTGGGGAGGGGGTTTCTTTGCAAACATAAGAGCATTTCTAAATTTCTAGCATTTGACTGAAAGCATAAAGATGATAAGTTTGACAAAACTTATCAAAGATAAGTTTGACATCTTTTCTCCCCCACTTTATCTTAGAATTTGTAAGCTCTGCAAGGGAAGTAAATAAGCAACAATCTTGCTTTGACTCTGGCCTTCAGCAATATCTCATTTTTTCTGACTGATGAGAAGTATGCTATGGTAGGTAATGAGTGAGGGTGTGGTTGGAAGAAAAAAAAAAAAAGCATGAGGTTGTTCCCCTTAGAAGGAACCACCAGTGATATGGGAAAATAAAGAAAAAGTAAATTCTGCTTTTTTATTTTGTTATTGCCCTCCCTGAACAGCTGCAGAGCTGGTACCTCTGCATTCCCATCCCATCCTGGGTGTTACATTTGGTTGAGCTTGTACTGTTATTAATTTCCCCTCATGGAGCCAGCATTGCACTGATTTGCATGAGGAACTTGTAGACAATTCCCTTGTGTCATAACACTGCTTATGTCTGATTGACAAAGCTCACTGAAATGAATGAGGTCCTTCAGATAAAGTCAATAGACTTTGCATCAGGCCCAAATTGTTGTTCTAGTCCAAAAAAAGACTGAAAATATCCCCAAGAGCCTCTATGTTTATTGTCTCTCAATGACTTCCAAATGAAATATGTTCAAGTTGCAAGTTAAACAATATGCCTCTTCCTTCCTTCCTGACTTAAAATCTCTGTCTGGAGTCTGAAATCACTTTATGAATTTTCTATAACTATTCTGAAAGTACAGGAGGTCATACTGGGTTATGACAGTAAAAATGTGAAGTTTTGAAAGGCAAAAGTATTCTTCTTTGTCTTCTGTCGTCATGAGGTATCTACACAAATGACTGAACAGACCATTCTAAATGTCCTATCTGCCATGAAGAAATTGGAAAAGTATGTATTCAACAGAGATGAGCAATTGTACAGTGGGTGCAGTGAAGAGTGCCAAACAAACTATGCCCTGCATCCTGTCCTAGGAGCATATGATTTATGATGACCAAGTGTATCACCATGTTTGTGCTTGCAAAATGAAGGTTCTACAAATTGTAGCAGGAATCTGTGAGGCACAGTGAGTATCCGTTTCAGCAGGGTTTTATTGGAATGCCATAAATCAAGTGACGGGAAAATTAAGAGAGGTGATGGTAAAGGAAAATTAAAGTAAAG